CCCGAAAAAAATTTATTTAAAAAAAGTCTTAGCTTTTAGAAGATTTAGATTTTAGAAGATTAGAAATTGTAAAACCTACGCAAAAATAAAAGGCAAGACAACTTATGTACAAAATTATTATAGAAAATTAAGTAAAATTATTCCATGATAAAACAATTTGTTCTGCATGTTATAGATAAGATTTTTAGTTTTCCAAGAGTTTGTCATTTAATTTACCACAGCAATTGTCAATACATCTTCGGTTTATTTAGTATGGACCTCTATTCTATTAATTTTGTTTCCATTGGAAAGAGTTATTATTTAAATAAATGTTTTGCCTATTATATTTGTTCGGGGATCGCTCGGGGATACGTGATGGTTATCACCTAATGGAATAATGGATCTTTATGCATCCATCGCGTTTATCTCGAAAATTAGAATAGCAGCCCCGCGTATCCGGATCGGAGATCAACTGGCACGCTCATGCATGTAAAGGCAACAACAGCGGTGTATATCGTTTTACTCTACATGCCTGGGCTACATAATATAACGATTCAACAATGCCCGGCGTAACATGTTCACGCATAAATTCATCGAACTCGCTTGGCAATATTAATATTGTTACCCATTCGCGAAATACGGAGCGGCAACGGCTGATATTCTCTATGCCTACCTCTATACATGTATTGCACTATCGTCGCTTCGGCAACCTCATTGCATCCGCGGTCGTAGCGGCAATTCTCGCTCTCTATTTCTCTTCCCCCGTAGGAGTGTGTCACGATTTATTGGCTGGGGTGTACACCGCCCGTATTTTCCGCCGGTAAAATCTAATTGGAAAACCATTGCGTGTACAAGAGCAACCCGTTGGTCGAACTTGCTTCGCGTGGAAATCGTGTGGCTGCATAAAGGATTTACCTATTCTTTTATTCTCTATTTCAATTCGACCCTCAAAACATTGATTTTCCGACGGTTACTTTTATCCAATACAATTATGTACGTACGGGATGAATGATTTTGCTGAAATATCTAAAAATTTAGCTAGACAGATCTGAAAATAATTTCGTTGGATCATCGAAATAAATTGTCATCGAAATAATTACAGAATGTTCAAACGGGTTGTTATAGAATGTTAAAATTTTTTTAGCGTTGCTCATCATGCTTGAGATGCCTTTAAAAAATTATTTTGATAGCTCAACAAAATTACTTTCAGATCTGTATTTAGCTAAATTTTTAAATACTTCAGCAAAATCGTTTTTTCCATGCGTCTTACATAACTCGATTATCACTTAGATCGAATGTTTCATTTCTTCTTATCTTTTTGCGTTGAGATGTACATAATCAATAACATATATTCTCATGATTTTGTGATCAATTAAAATTTTGTCTTTATAAATACCGCGTTAAAAATGATCAATCACATCATTTAATTGCATAGTTTATTCTAAGAACATATGTCTTTTATCGAAATATAATCGAATTAATTAAAAAGATATTTTATGATAAAACTTCAGTATTCTTATATACCTTGAAAAATAAATGAGAGAACACTGTGTTTTTATTTCTGTCCAATATTTTGTTAGAACATTTGAAACACAGAAAAAGTATTACACAATTTAAAGCGGAAATACTTTGAGAGACTGAGTAAATGCTTAATTTGTGCTTTAATTCGGATTGAATAAAGCTGTTAGCTGTGCTTTAGTTCAGCTTGGATAAAGCTTTTAACAACTTTTTTAACTCGCTCCGAAAACGTTGATTTTGCAGCGACTATTCTTTCTTCTCTCACGACACGTACACACATGTACGTGCGTAGTTCGAAATATCGCATAGCTTGGATTGTACTCTTCTGTTCTCATTTCTTTTTCTGTCGATGCGATGGCACGTAATCGACCGCGCGCATATACACGCTGCCTTCTCTCTCCCTGTCGTGATAAATTCAAAAAGTTGTCTTTAGAACATCCTATTAACAAGTATGGAAACGTAAAAAAATTTCTTTCGCTAAAGGATCTCATTAGGGAAAAAATCCAATAGTGAATTCACGCAAAAGTCTCATTGAAAAAGGAAAAAACTATTGGATTCCATTTAAAACGACAAAGAGTGACTCTTTCACATAGCTTTTTTTATACAAACGTGCGGCAATGAAAAGTAGATTACCAAACTTTGCTGTAGCAAACGACGATGGTTAGTGGAAAATAATATCTTTTACAATTACATTAATAAGATAAAGGCAGTTTAAAACTCAGAGCACGTAACCGAGCTGTTTTGAAAATGATATTAAAATTCATCATGTTTGATTTATATCGTGTTGGTTTTACTTTTACATGCATTCGTGTATTGATATTGTCACACTCAGGATGCGATGATAATGGTTGATTGACGTTCTATGCCTGCAAAATGTGAATTATTGTTCTCGGTTGTACATAATAATTCTGACTTCTCATCAAGTGGAAAAACAAACAGTTTAATAGCGCGAAAGATTTGAACAGCTCGATTAGAACGACTAGATAAAGAAAGGAATCTTAAGTATGTAACGGCAGACCACGATAGACGTGATAAAGTTGCAGATTGAAGACGCTATCGTAGATGAAAATTCTTTACCTTGTAATATACGATGCTATCCGTTAAATAGATATCACCCGTGGTTCTATTATATGTTTATGCCGTAATGTCTCTTCATTAGCAGCTTAGCAGTCGTATGTATTTCGCGAGGTATATACGTACTCTATTGCATATTTATTAAACGTAAAATAGATGACTGTTATAATTCCTGTCACCGAATGGATAATGACCTCGGATCGTATTCCGAGTATGTGATAATTTAGCTTAATTGTATCGCACGATATATTTCTTTGATGCAATCATCTTATATATTATATCCTTTTTGTTTACTTTGTCAAATTTTTGCAATGGAATGTACGTTGCAAAATATCACATATGAATGTTTTTATAGTTCAAAATACAGTTTTCAGAACATAAAATGTGAGTTTCGGAAGTATATTTGATCGTAACGTCTACAGAAAGAGTAAATGTATTTTACATTTGCGTGTCGCGATAGGAAAGGTACGTAGCCGTTGTACGTTTTTCTTCTGGAATAAATCGTCGTACTAACGGATTTCAAATATTGAATGACGAAACATTAAAGCATATTATAGGAAAACGAACCGCCATTCGCCAATATCTTACTAGAAATTATTTATGCTTATTTTATTACATAAAGAGATATTATAAGGTGGTGATATTCTGAAAGAGTTTGCGTAAATAACGTAATTTTTATAAAATTAGTTATGAGTTGATAATGTTTTACCAGACAAAAATTAGATGTGATATTTATATTTTATTGTGTAGAACACGCTTATGCAATCGAATAAAAAACATATATCAAGAAGTGGAATTTTAATGATTTATGGTGTTCACTTTAATATTAATGGGTTTATATATTTTTACAAATCTTTAAGTTTTTTCCATGCAAGAGCTATTTCTTCTTCATGCATGCCAGATATGCGCTGCAAATATTCGTTTGTATACACAGCACGCAATCTGCCTTGCGTTTTGCGCATGTATGACGTGAATGCTATTTCATTCCACTGATATTGACTGCAAGGGGATTGTCGTTTTACCATAAAGCATGCCGAAATAACATTTTTAAGTTAGAAATATGATGATAATGGAATAATATTGTAAACATTACGTAAACTATGTTTATAAAAAGCACCCGTGATATTGGATCATAAAAATTTAAAGACGTGAATTTTTTTATCATTCAAGAATCGATTTTTTCTGAATAAAAATATAAAGATATAGATATCTTTTTTGTATTATATCATAAATGATTGAAAAAAATGTGTAAGATTTTTCTATAAGTATTTCTTATTTCATTTAGTTTAGAAAAGAATAATTAAAGTGCATCTAATTGTAAGTAGGTAATAAAAATTAATGAAAAATAAAATATATAATTTTCAAAAATATATACAATTAAAAGAAATTTTCACAATTTTAGTAAAAGTTAAAGTTAAAAGTTATAACTTTCACTAAACTTTAACTTTTACTAAAATTGTGAAAATTTCTTTTAATTGTATCTTTATAATTAATTCAATTGTATCTTTTTAATCTTTATAAAGATAAATCGATGAGTTTCATTTCCGTCTTTTATTTCAACTTTGATATTTCTCCGTCAAATGTGGATCCATATAAAATTTGCTTCACCAAAAAGTAGGACACAACTTTTAATAAATACGGAACTATAAAAGAGTTCGAGGAATGAAATATTCGATTGCACGAAAAACCTTCTAGGTTATATATATATTTTTGATCGTTTATCATATAAAACAAAAAAGATATGCATATTTTTATACTTTTATTCTAAAAAAAATCAATTTTCAATTGATAAAATATTTATATTTTTAAATTTTGTGATCTAAAAAAAAAATATTACAGATGCTTTTTATTACAAGAAATATAATTTACGTGTTTATATACATTATTTCTGTTACCGTCATATTTCTAACTTAAAAATATTACTTCGGCATGCTTTATGGTAAAGCGACAATCTCCTCGCAGTCAATATCGGTGGAATGAAATAGCATTCACGTCATAACATGCGCAGAACGCAAGTCAGATTGCATGCTGTACAAGCGCATAGTTCTAACAATTCCAATTAGAGATAGTTTAGAAATGACAATACATTTTTTTAATTTTATGTTGTCATAAATTGGAATAAATAGAATTAATTCTACATATATTCAGAAACTTCAAACGTATTTTATATAGTAATTAATATCATAGTAAATATAGTACCATAATAATTTAATACTATAATAGGAACTTTTTAATACAATTAGAAATTAAAAAATTTTTGAAGTTTATGTTGGTCGGCATATCATCGATTAAATATAAACTTGTCTATTTTAAATTGACAAGTTTTCTTTCTTATAATGAAACAATACATTAGAAAATTGCACGTCCAGATCTATCTGTCCAAATCTATCTTTCGAGATTGTAACGTTTCGTCTTAATGTATTACGTACCACGACTCTTGCTCCAAGTTCCCCAAACACTCCAATTGGTGGCATTTCCTTGGGGACATATCGAAAAAATTCCGCGCCCTGCTTGTACCATTTGACAGTGTAAAGAGTATCCGATTGTAGATCGTATTTGCAGGACATGTTGACTGTAGTACCAGCTGCCACTGCCAATGGAATATCGATCGACACATTGCTTAATCCACGAACGTCTAAAAGAAAGAAGCAGGTTACTACCGATCGCACAATTTAAATATTAAAAATTGCATGTGTGGATAAGTCACTAAAAATTATTCCAATAACTGCATTTTTTATTACGTTAATAAAATATATAAATTTGATTTTCTTATTATGATATTGAATTTTAACTTGATGAGTTTTATAAAAACTTTATAAATTTTATAAAAGGATATAAAATATATATGTTTTAAATATATATACTCAGCAAAAACATAGATATAACTGCTATATAAAATATATGTAAATGTACATACGTTTTATACCTATATACGTATATTATGTAACAGTTATTCGGTGATTGCTGGATATGTACATATATATGATATATACAGCCAACACTTAAACAGAATAGATTTTATCAACAGATACTTTTACGAATTTGTATCGACTATATTAATTTTTAACATTAAATACTTTTTTTAGTTACATTAAATATTTTTCAATAAAATTTGATTCAAATAACAGCACGATTTTCAGCAGCTATTTACACTTGTAAAATTTTATTCGCGGAAAATTGATTAAGTATTTTCGTCGGTTATATAGAATTTGGAAGGTTTGCTGATGCTTCTGTATATTTATTAACGAAAAAGTACACATTAATCAATAAATCTGTCATTAAAAGATTATTTTTTGCAAATTTATATTCATACGTGAGAAAAATCTCGCTATATTACTTTTTTTTATTAATCAGGAAATTATTATTGCATTTAAGCGTGAATAGAATTTAATCCTCTTAATTTGCGATCTTTGATTAACGCGAACAATTTAAGAATAATACGATAATTTGTCATTAAAATTTGCTTTGTAGATGAATAAAATTTTTTTGGAGGAAGTTTATTACGTTATTCTTTGAATAAAAAGGAAACATATCGATATTTAATTAATTACTTATTACTCGATTTATTATTAAGAGGTATTACAAAGGATTTTGTACTGCGTATATATTTAGATACCTATACAATAGAAAAATTGCATTTTATCTTTCGGATTAAATAAGATAGTAACCCGGGTGGAAATTACGACCTGGCGCTTTATTAAATTACGATATAGGCCCCATCTAGTTTTCCACGAGTTAATGTAGGCGCTATATTGGTATGCTAGCTTGGGGTTATACTGGGCGGCAACGGCAATAATGACCAGCCCGAATATTGAAAAACTTTCTTGGCCCTGGTTCGCGATGCGCTGTAGGCCCAATATTGGAAAATTGTCTAGGTCCTGATTCGCGAGGTGGTGTCGCTGAAATTTGAGAAAACTATCTAGGCCTTGATCACGAGGCAATGTGTTGCCCCAAGATATTAAATCTGTCTAGTCGCTATCTAGGAAGGGATAGGATAATCTAGTTAGATTTAAAATAAATTTTAAACGCATAATGCGTCGGCTATAATTTACGGAGTAAGAAGTAAGAGTAAGAAATTGACCAATCACAGTCGATTGTGAGAAGAATACTATCGTCGATATATCGACTATGATTGGTCAATTTCTTATTTTTACTTCTTACTTCATATTATCGAATAACATTAGTTATATTAAAAAATGGTTATTATCAGAAGTATAAGGGTATGCAATCAGTGGTAGACCACTGCACATGTATCAAGCATACGTCACATTCGGCCAGACTTCGGCTATATCCGGAGCGGTTTCGATATAATATGGTCGCTATGTCGCCAACACATGTGCAGCATATGCCGAATAAATTCTGTAGTGCAAAGTCGAGTAATTTCACATTCAAAATACGTTGTGCGGTTAAAAGATGCAGAAATTATCATAAGACAAAAAATGAGTCGGATTGAAAGGAGTTGGAAAATTTTTTTGATTGAAAGGCATGCTTAAAAGCATACGTTCGAATTTCGCGCTTAATGATGACGTATGCTTGCTACATATTTTGATTGGACAGTGGGCGTGGCCATGCGCAAGAGCATACCCTTATACTTCTACTATGGTTATGATCCTGTTTCACCGGCCGGGCGCTAGCTAGCCTCCGGCTAGTTTTACCATCTTGACACCCCAACATAATTCTGTCTAGCGCCTAGATGAAATACTAGATAGCACCCAGCTAGATTTCCGATACTGACGTGCCACGACCTTTTCCACGGGGCCCAATATAGAACATTGGAACGCCCAGATACATTTCCACACTCAGGAATAGTTTCAAATATTTTTTTATTAAGTTAACTGTGTTTATTAACAATATGCACACACACACACACACATACACGCAATATGAGATCATATCTTTTCGTTCAACAAAGGGCTACTTATTCCTTCTTTTCCCCTATCAAACGAAGCAAGTTTGCAAGATGCTTATCTTACTTACTTTAATAACTTAAATGAACCAAAGTTTAAACTTTTCATATACTCTTGGCAACGCCATCGTCAATGTTGTTAGTTATACGGAATACTATTGGCGAACAAGAGGCATTTTGCCAAAAAACGCTGAAGAGATTGCAAAAAATAACATCACGGCCGTCAACTTTTAAGCATCTATGGCGCACTTGCTTAGATCGAGTTTGGAACTTATTACCATTCCAATACTTTATGTGCCCTGTTGTCATGCATTATTCATCGAAGGTTTGGAAGAGATAAAGTTTTCACTAAAGCTCGATATAGAATCTTTTTTTTGAAGAAGAATTAGCCCTAAAGATGAATATCTCTATAGCACTAACGAGTGATTTAATAATATAGTTCAAGAAAACTATTTTGCTCGAGAATATAGTATAGTCCGCGATTTACTGGGTGGTCCGTTATATCTTAATTAGTATGCATGCAGAATACGTGCTGTAGGCGTTTAGCGGTATAAAGTATTAAACATGATACAGAGGAATATCAGTTCTATGACCGAAAAGCATTACACAGAAGTGCTTACCAACGCGTGTTACAACGCTGCTGTAAATTCCTGGCTCTTATCAGCAACGTTGCGATATCTGCGTAGTCCGTCATTGTTTCGGCTTAAATGAAGAAAAATCTAACCCGAGGAGATTGTATAGGTATATATTTCGCACGAGTTTGCGAGATCAGCGTCCAACGAGCGTGCCGTGGACTCGCAACGGCGGACTAACGCGAAAGTTTGGTTATTAATTAATTGTTTTTCGCGATATATCCCGGTCTAATTAATTATTTATGCCTCGATCCACGGATGGTCATTGTGCTAATAAAGTAATTAAACGATAATTAATTAGAAAAGTAATTAATTGAGAAATTATGTGGCGAGAAGGGAAGAAAAAGTGGAAATGTGGCTATTAAAATAACTATAGGTATATATTCTAATAAAAGTATCTGGACAACTTCCTTGACATCGAACATAACGGTCAGAATACACGTACATAAATGAGAATAATCTTCTGTGTCGTTCTCCCTCGCGTGCGGCCGCTTTTAATTATCGCATTATAATAGACGTCATTAAGCGCGTTCCCGTTTGCTCTGATAGAATATCTCCGTCTCAGTAAAGCGAAAGTTTTTCACTTACAGAGACGCGCGACTCTTTATCACTAATCACCGCACAGTTTTGAACTTGGTCGACGTATTAGAGGAACGTTGCGTAATTAGAGCTAGTAATTGGAACGTCTGCTCCTCAAAGTTTTAACGTTGGCCATGTATAATCAGATGTTTGGCCTCAACGTGCGCGAGTGCAACGGCGCTCGCAGATCGCAGCAACGAGATTTAAATACCAAGCGTTCACTAATCACCTTGCTAATCCTTAATTACCGCTCCTCGCAAGGAACGCTCGATTGTTATTCGCATCGTGGCTCATCGCGTTGCGCACCTTCCGTTTTTGGAAGGTGAAATCTTCCCATAAATAACGGCAACCGCGAGACAATGGCATCGCATAAACTCGCTTACGTATATATCAGGCTTGTCTTAAATTATCGCGAGAATAATAGAGCTCGCGAATGCACGCTTAAACAGATTCGAAATCGCCTTTGTGGTCGGTTCGCGTTCTCCCTCATGAATTTATAAATTCCTACGGGGTTAGATAAGTACGAACAAGCAAAGCGTCGTAAGAGCTGCACGCACCCTTAGAACATGTACATTTAGATACTAGAAGTACCATAATCGATCTGAATAACACAGCGTCTCCAACATTATCCATTTTTGTCTGTGTTTGAAATCTGCCTTTGCGTGAGAATCGCGTTTGGCTAATTTTACATACCTTTACAATATTAATTTCAATTCTGTCAGAATTATAGGCTATAATCGAAGACTTAGACTATAATCGACGCATGCGCATTGTAGTAAAACAAACAGATATATGTTTGGGGACAATGCCAATCAGCTATGGCGCTTCCAGTATATATGTTCTAAGCACGCACCGAGTATTGCACAATCAATCGTATATGGAGCAAGCAACAGATTAAACACGTTGCGTTTAATCAGCTAATAAGAATGATAGTAATTGAGCGAACAGAACTGAATATATGTTTAATATATTTATTACTGTCGAGATACCCAGGATATTACGAAACAGTATTTCCAAATCAACACACGAAATGGTTTAAATAATCGTTATTTGGAGAATAGCTATTAGAATGATTCATTTTTAATGTGATGGTATTGATTACTCCGTTTGTGATGCCTAGATAAATTAATACTAAAATTAATGTATATATTCGATTTCGCGTATTAACCGTATTGGAACAATCGATTTCACACAAATCAAAACTCTCATTCTATTTAATAAAACAAACACTACAATAATTTATATTTTTAAAGAAGTAATACGTTTACATCGGATTTTTATTTTTTAATAGAATACAATACATCTTTCTATACATATCTTGAGAGTCATAATATACATGTGAATGTAGATGTGATCAACAGTAGGTGTAATGATTATAATGAAACATGCACACATACACACAGAGGTAAATCATAATAAAAAATTAATTGTCATTATTGCTTAGTTACTTATTGTCAGTTGTAATTATCTCTTCTTTGACTTTAAAAAATTAAAATATAGTTATCATGGACCACATAA